CACTTGCAATTGTTTTAGTTACTTGTGGGCTACTTAACATGAATAATCACAGTTACTATCCTTTTACTCCATCACATTTAAAAAAGAAATAGGCTATTGTTATTTTAACTCCACCACAGTAATCCATCATCAGCTTTACTTTTTAGATAAAGTTTTAACTCACAATTGATCATAACAGGCTTCAACATATACAATTGTATATATTACCAAGTGGTTTCATGTACAACCCACACAAGTATCATGCTAAATGAAGCTCTGTTGCTTGGATATCACTAGATCCTGATGTCAGCGTAATATAAAAGTACATAACGATTGATGTGTAATTTAGCATAATTTACTAGCTAGCCGCTAGCTGCTAACGGCCGCCTCGTTAATATAAATCCAGTACCATGCTGTCATGAACGCGCGGTGCTGTTACATGTACGCAAATTCACGTGTTTAATGTGAACGAGCCTTTTGGGCGGCGTGGTTAAAGTTGCGCATGCTCTATGAGTGCACATACGGGTACTTCTCAGGCATGCCGGGTAATCTGTGACGTTTCGCTCTCTCAAAAGTTGGGCCATTTTGTCATCATGCGCCATTGAGCAACTCTCATAGGAATGAATGAGCCCCCGCCTCCCACGCTGTATCCAGTTCTTATTATACATCCATGCAGGGTCGGCGTCATGGGGGGTCATTCGCGGGCCATGCCCCCCCAAATGAGTCACTGTGCCCCCCCAACGCAGGGTGGGCAAGCCTAGCCACTTTGCCGTTTAAAAAAAAAATCATATAAGTGAAAACGTTTCCACTAAAGGTTTTTTGTGTGAAATACGTCAGAAATAAAGAATACAAATATAAAACACAGCCTGAGCTGTGCTCACTGCTGCTCTCTGATTGGTGTGTTGCTTGACCAATGACCCCCGACCTTTGTTTTGTTATCATTACGTGGCTGTGTGTTTAGATGAAAGCCCGGTGGCGATCTGTTCATCTGTTACACTGATTAGTGATTATACAGTAAAGCCATCGAAAATAATATGATATACATATACAGTACAGTACAAGTATCCTATTTCTGGGTCTCTGTGTTTCATTCAAGCTCGGCTCTGTGTGTGTGTGGCACGAGCGCATTTTGTGAGTGCGCGAGCGGTAACGTGGAATGTTGATGTTAGCATCTGGTTAGCTCGCTATGCTAACGGATATAAAGAGCTGTTTCTACACCAAGGTGGAGGAGAGTCCTCTCCTGTCAGACTGAGAGGATCGTATAACCTCAGCTCAGTGAGGTAAAGGACTCTCTCAGTGTTTAGATAGTTCACTTTAGTGTAAGTTATCTCAGTGGGTCTCAAACGGGTTGGTCACCATATATGTAAACAAGTATTTGCGAGGAATACCTTTATATGATCATTATAGTTATTAAAGAATAAGAGAATAAATTAAAAACGGGTATGAAATACTATAGGACAGTAACACAAGAATACAGTTTAAAAGGGGAGTGATTAGTAAAATATCCATAAAGAAAAAGTAAATCTGTGTACAGTTCTGTTTCATATGGATGTTGAGAGATGTATCCATAGATCTCTTCATGTTGCTCTCAAAGTGCACCAGATTGATGCATTTAACTTCAATATTTTAAAAATAATCTTCCCCGGGGAGCATGCCCCCAGACCCTCCTAGAGGAGGTTAGGTCCACACCCACCTAAAACATGTTCACATGGATAGGATACTAAATACATTTGCACCCTTTTTATATGGTGGCCTATGTCCTTATATGTTTCTGTTTTGGTGGTCGTGCCACAACCGTGCATGTATGCACAGGTCATAGGTGCGCTATACAATAGCACTACACTCTGCAATGTGTGTGAAAGACAATAGACTTTACAGCATGTTTTTTGAAGTTGCGTTGGTGTTTGTGTGTTGGTTGTTGACAGCAGTGTGTGCCCCCCATTCGATTTGTTCTAGAGCCGACCCTGCATCCATGGTCGTTTCCCATCAAGCATTTCGCTTCCGCAGCCCGTGGAGAAACTGCGCCACCTCGCCCTCAAGTCTGCGGGCGTCTTTGTCCCGCGAGATTTCAACGTCTCATGTAGGCGAGCCTCCAGAGCAAGTCGGACAAAATGACTAACCATCATGCAACGCACTAGCAAGACGGCGATCACAATTGCGCAGGTCTGCGTCGGTCTCGCTTGTCTCAAACAAGCCTAGTATCGGCTGAGCCGATCCGATCGAGTGGACGGGGCCTATGGGGATCGTCCATTTAAAAAAAGTGATGTTTAAAACTCAGTTAATGGGGCTCATTCACTGGAGCTTCCACAAACAACAACCAACATAATTATTACATTCAAATGAAGTACATTATTCAAGTTTACATTAACTTTTGATAACACGGGAGAAATGAGCGGAAGCGCTCTCTTTTCCTCTCTCCTGACAGCCTGTCAGTATCTCATGCAGCTCACTGACCCAGTAATGACTGAGTGACCCGACAGTGAAGAATACATATATTTATAACTAGTTTAGCTTGTTCCAGATGTAGATCAAATAGCTAAGTCGGTGTGTTTGTTAGGTCTAACTATTTTTCTCCGCTCACCGGTCCGTCACAGCGGGTGGAGCTGCAGGATTTCTGCTTCACACACGTTGCATACCGCTATTTTATTGTCATTTTCGGACACCTTAAAATACTGCCAGACTGGTGAAGCCATTTTGGCGAGCTTGTTTTGCCGCGCACAGAAAAGTGTCATGTATTTTACGTCATGCGATCGGCATTTTTAGAGAGCACCGATCGATCGGCAGAGTGAGCATCAGCCGATCGATCGGAGCATCCCTAAACAGCAATGTGCCAAAACACATTCAAATGAAGATACATCTACATCAACCTGACAAATATGAGCAGGGTTTACTAAAAGAGCTGCATCAGCTAAGGTTTTCATAATTTTTCTTAATCCTAAAAATAAATAAAACATATAAAAATGCAAATATATTTTTCAGAAATTAAAAGATATTTTTATAATTAATAAAACAAAAGACTGACGTTTTCACTTGTGTCCTCTTAGCTCTTTTAACAAAATAAACCCAACATTTAATTTTTAGACATGTAAATATGGCACTCATCTCACATCTTGTGTCTTATGTGTTGTGTTTCCTTCTTCAAACTTTCATTCATGCATTCAACACATTGAGACTATTCAAAAATAAAAAACCTTTAGAATAAAATATCTACAATCAGGGTTCATACACTTTTTCACCAATGACTTTTCCAAGACTTCTCAATTACCTTTACCTAATTTTCCATGACCAAAAAAAATTACCACTGAAAATGGTTTATTTGAACATGGAAGAGGAAAATAAGGTCTGCATATGAAACATGTAGTGCCTATCTAAAACAAATCAAATAGTAGGCTTACTAGCTTCTACACGCTGAAGCAACTGTAGTCAGGGAGGCAAACTCATCAGGTATGAAAAAGGTGACAAGGACCCGAGCCCCCCGACCCCACGGAATATCGGCTTTAAATTTAGGAATAACAGGATTTGAGCAGTCAGAACAACTAAAGCAGCAGGTAATAATAACAGAAACGCCAAAGAGTCACATCTAATAGAAATATATAAAAGCATTTATTTTAATTGTGTAGCAGTCAGTTTATCATTTTGGCTGTTGAGCATTTTGAAAATGTATTTGCATGCCTCTGTTCAAGGCTTAGTCTTTCTATCTGTATAGCCACTGGTGTAAAGTAACTAAGTTCATAAACTCAACAAGTACTATACGTGGGTACAATTTTGAGATACTTGTACTTTATTTAAGTATTTCAATGTTTTGCTACTTTGTTCTTCTTCTCCTCTACAGTTCAGAGGTAAATGGTATTTAATACCTTTAGTTACTTCACAGATGTGGATGAATGATGTGAAATATAATCAACTCTTAAATGAGACTTTAGTTCCACCTGGAGTAAACCCACCAGCTACCCTGCAGTATACAAAGTCATTGAAACTAGCTGCACCTTTACCAGCTTTGAGAACACTTTCATGATCAATCATTATAAAACATATCATATATATTATTCTGAAATGGACCAATCTGCACAATGACTACTTTTACTGTCGTTACTTTAACTATATTTTGATGAGAATACTTTTCTACTTTCACTTGAGGAACATTTTGAATGCAGGACTTTTACTGTAACAGAGTATTCCTACACTCTGGTACTTCTACTTTTACTCAAGTACAAGATCTGAGTACTTCTAGTTTTACTCAAGAACAAGATCTGAGTACTTCTAGTTTTACTCAAGAACAAGATCTGAGTACTTCTAGTTTTACTCAAGAACAAGATCTGAGTACTATACTTTTATTAATACAAGATCTGAGTACTTCTACTTTTACTCAAGTACAAGATCTGAGTACTTCTACTTTTACTCAAGTACAAGATCTGAGTACTATACTTTAATTAAGTACAAGATCTGAGTACTTCTACTAAAGTACAAGATCTGAGTACTATACTTTAATTAAGTACAAGATCTGAGTACTTCTACTAGAGTACAAGATCTGAGTACTTCTACTTTTACTCTAGCACAATATCTATACTTAAGGCTAAAGCTAACGTTAGCAGATAGTGACAATGTATGCTAGCTAGCTCAACGATTCCTTAAATGATATTGCGACAGAAAAACTTTTCAGTTCACATCTCGCTCTGCTCTGAACACCTGAACGGCCTGTTCTAACAGTCAACGAACTCACCGTAGATAATGTAGCTGACCCTCATCCCGGAGCAGCAGAGTTCAACCGACAGGCAGGAAGACTCGAGCTCGCGCTTCATATATTAAAAAAAATAACACCATGCGCGTCATGATGGCACATAACAGTTTAAGACCGCAGATTATTTCGGCGATTAGATAAAATGTAAATTATATTTGACGCAACTTTAGTTACATTTCCATGACTTTGGGAAAAATATTGTTTTCCATAACTTTTCCAGGGCCTGGAATTTGCATTTTGAATTTCCATGACTTTTCCAGGTTTTCAATGACCGTACGAACCCTGCAAGAATATGATTTTTATTTTAGATTCTTCAAAGTAGCCCCCTTTTGCCTTGATAACAGCTTTGCACACTCTTGGCTTCTCTCAGTCAGCTTCATGAGGTAGACAATGAAAAAAGCTCTGGTGCTTTCTCTCTAAAGACTCAGGCATTAAAAGAGAAATAACTAAATATAAATGCATCGATGCAGTGAAGACAAGAACAATCAGCTCTCAGGAACAATGATGGACACACAATGAGTTTAGGAAGTAGAAGAGTTCCTCAAATTACAGGCTATTTCAGTTTACAAAACTCAGCTGTGGCTCCATGATCAAAACCAAGCCAAACTCCAGCATGTAGCGGCTGAGTGAATGTGGTCTGGACTCTGTGGAGGAGAGTCATGGTTTCAGAGATGCTGTAGAAGGACAGAATACCTGCTCTGTGATCCAGGTACACTCCTACTCTGGAGGACAGAGGACCTGAGACGGGAGTGATGATACTGTTGAAACGAAATGAATAACTGTTTTGGAAACACTCTAAGGAACAAGATTTGTCATTGTATCCAAAGAAACATTCAGTCCCACTCCCTGCTCTACTGATATTCTTGTATGTGACTGCTACATAAACTCCTCCCCCTCTCCGCTCCACCTCCCAGTAACAACGTCCAGTCAGACTCTCTCTACTCAGGACCTGAGGCCAATCAGTGAATCGGTCTGGGTGACTAGAATAAGACTGATGTAGTTTCATGCGTGTTGCTTTTCTGCCCCCCTCAGAAAATACCAGCCGTGTGTTTGCTGTGTTTGGATCCAGTGTGATCTCCTGTGAATATTGTAAGAACCCAGCTCTGGTGGTGGGCTCTGCTGCTGACAGTAAAACTTCCACTTCAGTCGGTGCAACGTTTGTCCATTCCTCTCTCAGGACGTCCTGTAGTTTGTCTCTGACTGCTGACAGGGCCGCCGTCACGTCCTCAAAGTAGCTCAGAGGACGGATGTTGATGCTGGAGGAGTGTGTAGCTTCACTGAGGGCTGGCAGTGAGGGGTAGCTGTGCAGAAACTGGTTGTGATCCTCTGTGTGAGACAGCAGCTTCAGCTCAGCGTCTCTCCTCTTCAGCTCAACCATCTCCTGCTCCAGCTTCTCCTGGAGCTCTCTGACTCGACTCACTTCTCTCTTCTGCTGGGATCTGACCTGCTGCTTCACATCAGAGCTTCTTTTCTCCATGAGACGGATCAGCTCAGTGAACGTCTTCTCACTGTCCTCCACTGCTTTATCAGCAGAGCCATTGACGGCCTCCACCTCCTGCTGAAGCAGCTTCACCTCCTTCTCTCCGTCCTGGATTCTCTGCTGGAAGTTTTGTCGACTCCCCTCCAGCTCTCTCTGCCTCTCAGTCCTCTCTGCTGCAGCTGACACCGTGTCGTGGCCTTTGTGTTCGTCCACAGAGCAGAGATAACAGATACTCTGCTGATCAGTGCGGCAGAACATCTTCATCACCTCGTCGTGACGAGAGCAGATGTTCTCCTGGAGCTTCTTGGAGGGCTCCGCCAGCTTGTGTTTCTTTAATGGAGCTACGTCATAATGACCCTGGAGGTGTTTGTCACAATAAGAGGCCAGACACTGCAGACAGGACTTACAGGCTCTCCGTTTTCTCCCAGTGCAGACATCACAGGCCACATCTTCAGCTCCAGCATAGCAGAGATCAGCAGGAGCAGCTTGGAGTCCAGTCTTCTTCTTCAGCTCCTCCACTAAAGCTGCTAACATGGTGTTTTTCAGCAGGACAGGCCTCGGTGTGAAGCTCTGCCTGCACTGAGGGCAGCTGTGGATCTTCTTCTCATCCTCTCCATCCCAGAAGCCTTTAATACACTTCATGCAGTAGCTGTGTCCACAGGGAGTGCTCACCGGATCCTTCAGTAGATCCAGACAGATCGGACAAGAGAAGGTTTCCCGGTCCAGCTGAACTCCTTTCTGCGCCATTTCTCCTCTCAGTGGCAGCGAGTGTCTGAGTTTCACTTCCTGAGCAGTGATGATACCTGTATTAAGCAGGTGAAACAGAGCAATGAGGACACGGTGTGTTATGTTTCCTCCCAGATCGCTTCTCTGGATGTTTTATTACACAACAAAATCATTTAAACATATTAACTCTCTCTCTAATATGCATTTCATAAACAGACATTTCAATTGTATTTCAAATTCAGTAAAACATCTCTTGTACCTTAAATACCTTTTTCAACAGTATTAAATACTACTCTTCTATTTACTGCAAGTCAAAAGTAGCATATCATGACCCAACTGTCATGTGACAATTAAACTTCTGCCATTAATTGCATGTTACTAAAATGCATAAACTGGAGCTAATAATAATAATTATTATTATGTTAACACTCAGTATTTCAGTCTCAGTGTAAGAAACATCCCAGTATTAACCTTACTGTTTTTACTAGCAGTAACTAACTTGTAATTTTCATAAAGTGCATATGTATTCCAAACTCACAATAACTATATATGTACTGGAAATATTCAGTGCCTTCAGAAATAATGTCACACTTGTATTATTACCGCGACAGACCACGTTGTCCCCAAAATGGCGCCGCACCGGGGGAGCTATGCTAATACACACACACACTATTTCACACCTTTAAACACGTAAACAGTACTACAAACATTTTAAACTGTTAGCGGACCGTCACATTATATAGGCGAACCTTATGGGACATTCATTATGATGTGTGCACAGTTTACTAACCTGTATTAAGCCGGTGAAACAGGACACGGTGTGTTCCTTCCAGTGGTCTAGCTGCAGCCGCAGCAAGTACAAGACACGCCACCTGATACGACACTACGGTGGCTGAGAGACATTGATACCGTACATGGCAGATAAAAAACGAATTGCAAATGTTATTGTAGCATTTTAAGCAACTATTAGGCAAATTAATGAAATCTAGTCTATCCGTTTGAGACACAACAGTATATGACTTTAAGCACAAATCATTTTGTCTAATTAATAAATTAAAACAAAAAGGAGGCAGGGCTCGACAGTAACGGTTGCCAGGTTGCCATTGGCAACCATTCAGAAAAAATGTCAACCACCTCTTGGCCTTTGGTTGCTATCAGTGGCAACCAGTTTTTAACATGAAGAAATAAGGACAGCAAACCGAAAATAGATGAATGTTAATTATTAAGAGTGATATTTAATTATTGTTGTGACCAGTCGGAACCTGATAGGAACTTAAGTTGCACGTGCATTGGTGTGATTACGGAGCCAGAAAGCATGCACGTTTACTCACGTGCGTGGTGCGCCGTGTGTTTGTTTTACAACAAATGACGAAGCAAATTAAGTTGTTTGACTTTGGGGTAAAAAGTTCGGCCAACACCTCAACATCTCAAACCAATGTTCAAAGTGATTCAACTGATAAAGCGCAAGATGAACCCGAACGAAAAGCAAAGAGGAAATGTGTAAAGTCTTGGGAGGCGAAATATATGTACATTCTGCTCCGTTGTGCATTCACTTCCGGTAAAAGTTCCTTCAAAATAAGAGTCCCGATCTTATTACTACCAAAATAAAAGTGCTAAACAAAACTATACCATAGAAAAATATTGGCATACAAATATAATCACTTCTATAAAAAGGTAACACATTTTAAATATAGTTAGACATATTAAAAGGTAATTTACAGTTTACAATAATGAATATCTAATTCTATGTGAATGGTTTTCATTTGTAATTCATTTAACATTAAAAATGTATTAGTCTGGTCAATCCAAGACTTCAATGCTGTAGGGCCAGTGGATCTATGGTGGGGGTCAGCACAAAGGTCAAGAAAACCACATTTGAAAGGGAGACAACGGATGACCAAGAAACTAGTGACTTGCTCAATTCATGTTTGAGGGATCTGTGAAGAACATGGCAACAGCTGCACTACTGGTATTTAGTATACCAGCAATTGAGGGTGGACACGTTTACTACCACTTCAGTTTCAAATAATTGTGTTAATTACTTATTGTAAAGCATTTGAACATTCTTTTGTGTCACATGTTCCTTATTAAGTTGATGTATAACTGTATAGTATCTTAATTATTTAAAATACAAGGTAACTAAAAATGGCAACCGTATTTCAGTTTTGGCAACAAAAAGCTGATGCCTGGTTGCCAGCCTGGCAACCACTTTTAAAAGTTTGCGTTGAGCCCTGGGGGGCTTAGTAAACTTTATTTTTCAGTACATATAAAATAGGTAATAATGAGATCATCTATTAATTATGTTTGTCTAACTGATGTATTTATACATAAATGTAGATATTTATGAACATCTAAATATAGTTGGTTTTAAGATATATATAATCACATCATGGGGTCATTAAGGTTTCAAACAGGTTCATGTAAGGTAGGCCTATAACATGAAAACATGATTTTTAAAACTAATTTCTGAATCTCACATTAGCATGTAGTTTGGAATGTTATTGATATGGGCTGGACACACCCCTTCACAATGATCATCATTGACTTCTTTTAGACCAAATTAGGAGGGCCAGTCAGGCCACTAACGAGCTCAATAATTCACATGTATTATTACTTTATAAATTAAGAGTACTAGTCGTCTATTACAAAACCTTTGAAGGAATCGTCATGCATTCTGAATGTTTCTGTACATTAAAAACATCATGGCTCAAGATCCTGTTCTTGTTTAAGATTATTCATACTAATTTGTGAATTTAACATCCATATTCACTCTTCAAAACTGAAACACCACATTTTTTGTAAAGCATTGCAGGCCTAAAGCTCCACGTCAGTGACCTATATCTAATTTCTTCCATCAAACTTTAAAGATGGCAAACAGCATGTTTTTAAAGATTTCATCTTTTAAGAAACAAAATATCAACTTTGAACAGAAGGGTTTAAAAACACGTTTTTAATGCAAATAAACTTGAAACATAAACCTATTTGTCATTTCAAAATTCACTTTTATTGTCTGTGTGAAAGGTACAGTAGGCTATGAGCTATCAGGTTGGGGAAAATAGGACCCAAGTGCAGTTAAAAAATACAAAAAGGTTTGTTAACAAAAAGCGAGCTTTATTATAAAAAGCCGAAGGCATGAAAAACAAGAAACTAATTAACAGAAACAAAACCGGGGAGCACGACAGACAGGAACAGGCAGGAGACATGGCATAGATGACAGGTAGCAGGGACATGAAATGACGATGAACAGACATGGAGCACAGGGGAAGACAAGACTAAATACACAGAAGGGTAATCACAGGACAAGACACAGCTAGACAGGGGAGGCAGAAACACAAGGGCAACAGGTGAACACAATCAGACAATCAGACACACAGGAAACTAACGACAGGAAGGCAAACACAGGAAGTAGGACCAGACAAGACACAAGGAGGAAAACATTTCAGAATAAAGTGGAAAATGAAAACAACAATCCAAAACCATGACATGAGCGAATACATATCAACATTCAAAAATTACAAAGTCGTACAATATATACCATGTGCTACTGTCTAGGATTAAGTATGATGAGACTTTTCAGCCCGCGACCCCCAAAATAACAGTGCCAGATACTGGCGACCCCCGACAGGATAGTGATCTCCAGTGTGCTGGGCAGTGTGGCGGCGGAAGGAGAAGGCACCACCGGAGGAGAGGCGAGCGATGACAGCAGCATCACCGTGGTGCAGATAGGGCAGAACGGGGAGTACATGGGCACGGCGCGGCTCCCTGCACAGACTGAGGGGACTTTACCAGGGAAGCTGCCGGACAGAGAGTTTGATCCTGCCTGCGGCGGGAGAAGGCGGTCTACTCGGCCTGCCCTTGGCTCTGGGGTCCCTCCTTAAACAAATAAATAAAAAGCTTTTAAATAAAACATTCATCTTAAATAAGATTTGATCATTTATTTTAAACGTCAGGCCTACAGCATGGCCACAAACCCCATCTAAAAACAGAGGCTCTGTCCTAATTACCTGATTGCATCCACCTGGGTTACTTGGCTCAACCAAATAACTTTATATAAGTTTACTTTAAACCACACTTAAAATAATAATATAATTATACATAATAGGCCTACATGTCTACAGTATAGCAACTAATACATGTTTTAAATAAATAAACATTCAAATGTGAAAGCAACCTTCAATGAATATTTAAAACGTACACAAAATCAGATTCTTGTAAAAATTAGAGTTCATGCATTGTTCCATCTGTCAAGCTAAGATATACATATATCTTAGCTTGACATGCTCGCTCAGTTAGCATACATATATATATTATGTATGTATTCCATTCCTTTAAATTGAATATTTAAAATATAAATTAGCAAAATAAACACAATTACACTGCGCTAAACAGCCAAATCGACAAACAACCGAAAATCCACAAGACGTGAATTACCTGTACTCGCTGCACCATATTGTCTGTTGTCTGTTCTCTGTTAACCTCCATGTCTGATTAAATATCCTTGCGTCAGCATCTCACGTGTTGGGCGCGCTCTCTTCTGACCATATTTGGAAGTACAACTTCCTACAGGTTCAACTTCCACCGGCTGCGGCTACAGCTGGACCCTTCTCATTTAAACAGTCCTTCGGCGCCACTCGATGACGTAGTATACTTGAAATAGTGGCTCTGCAGCAGGTTTACTCGACATTGAGGGTGTTTCTCAATCTCGAGTAAAGCTGCTCCAGAGCCAATATTTCAAGCATGCTAAGTCATCGAGTGACAATGTCCAGCATACTTGAAATTCTACCGAGCCCGGCGTACTTCATTTGGAGAAATGTTGAGGCTGCACATGAGTAGACTCTGCGGTCTTAAAATCCCCACAATGCTTTGCGCAAGGACCAATTTCCCCAAATCTGTCGCGGAAAATGTAAGGCGGGGCCTCTCATATGACGCACACTTGCTCGCCTGTTCCACTTTTCGTTTTCCGAATGCCAGGAAGTATTCTTGCCTCGCTTCTGAAGCAAGACGCTCGGAAGACATGTGCTACCAAGCAAGCGTACTCGAGATTGAGAAACACCCCCAGAAACGGCCACCGTGGGTGTTTCTCAATCGCGAGTACGCTTGCTTGGTTCCAAATCGACATTCACTCCCTGCTCTGCTGATATTCTTGTATGTGACAGCTACAAAAACTCTTCGCACTCTCCACTCCACCTCCTAGTAACAACGTCCAGTCAGACTCTCTCTACTCAGGACCTGAGACCATCCAGTGAATCTGTCTGGATGACTAGAATAAGACTGTTGTTGTTTCATGTATGTTGCTTTACTGCTCCCCTCAGATAATAACAGCTGTGTGTGTTGTGTTTGGATCCAGTGTGATTTGCTGTGAATATTTTAAGAAGTACACAGGAGATCACTATCCTGTCGGGGGTCCCCAGTCCCTGGCACTATTATTTTGGGGGTCGCGGGCTGAAAAGTCTCATCATACTTAATCCTAGATAGTAGCACATGGTATATATTGTACGACTTTGTAATTTTTGTTTGATTGATTTCGTCCACTGTGGGCAGCAGATACCTGTCAGGTATCACGGCCTTGTTCACCGCCCTGAGGTCGATGCATGGGTGCAGGCCCCCTGACTTCTTCTTCACCACCACCAGGTTTGAAATCCACGGGGAAGCATCAATGCGTTCGATGATGCCTGCGTCCAAGAGTTTTTGCAGCTCGGCGGTGACGTCGTCGCGCAGGGTGAGAGGCAGGCGGCGTATGGGCTGAATCACGGGGTGTACCTCAGGCTTGAGGAGGGGCTGGTGGTCAAAGGCGGTGAGGTAGCCCAAACCACTGAAGAGAGCAGACCAGCGCTGATGCCACGGCGAACCAACAGACAAGATGGCGGCGCCAGAATTGTCCACAAGGGTGAAACCCAACTCACAAAACAAATCCAATCAAAACAAATGTTTGGAGCGGAAAGAGACGCCGGACCGTGGAAACATTCAGGAGCGACTTTGAGGCCCCCGTATCCAACAGCAGCGGGAGGCAGACCCCATCTAGCTCCACCGTGCAGCACTTTAGCGGTCGGGAGATGGCGGCCACTGAGTGGATGGTCGTCGGTGCGTGCGGCCCAGGCGTACGTGGAGGTGGGCTGTGATCCCATCATACAAACAGTCCTCTGTGTTTCTGAAAGAGAAACAACATGCAGAGGAAGGGCAGCGTTGCCCCCTGGGACTGCGGTCAAGCCAGCCTCCACTTCGGAAAACACAGTCAAGCCAGCCTGCCGCAGACCCTCGGGACTGATAATAAGCAGTCATCACTCCCAAATGAGTCCTTCAGGGTTTCCTCGTTAATATCAGTGTCTCGAAAACACATGTTGGCGACTGAAAGACATCCAGTGTTTGGTCTTTTCTGGAAGCATCCTACAGTGTCTCAACTGAAAGAGGACCACAAACACACAAAAAATATAATACAATTTTGAGATTTTGGGATATTTATCTCCCATTCTTTCACTTTTTCGGACATTTTCAAAACCAAACATGTCGTTAATGTCTCTATTTAGTGAACTACAGCAATCTGAAAGCTTGTACATAATTTACATCACACTGCAAAAACATGCAGGAAATGACTTAGCATTTTAAAACGTATGTGGTAAGTTGTCAAAGTGCTTTGTTTTGAACGTTCATCAGTATTATAATCAAAAAGAGAAATATGAACGTTAGTTTTTACTGAAATGATCAAATAAAGTCAACATCTCAGTCTTTACTGAGCTGTGTGGGGTTTGTTCAACTTTTAAAAGATGTTTGAATGGTGATGTACACAGTGATAGATGTTAAGGACTAACGTTTATAATAAATACAGTATTGATTTTAAGATCTTTTCATAGTTCATACAATCATACGTATTGGGATCATTTGTATTAATGTGGACCGGAGGGAGAGGGTGACGAGCATAAGTTTCACTTTCCTTTTTTATTTCAATTCCAACTTTGGTCATGAAGAATTTGTTTCTCTGTTGTCCCCGTTCATAAAGCATAAAGCAACAGCGTCAGAGCACGGTGCAGAGTCTCTAGATGAGTCCCTCGTTCTTATTAAACATCCATGTTGTAGTCCGCTATAGAAAACTGTAGTTTCCATAGTTTCCCCACAGCAGCAGACGCACATTTATGACGTCCGCTGGCGCATCATAAACACGTCGGATAGTGAAAGTGCATTCGGATTCTCTAAAGTACCGCAGTCTCTTCTCCTAAGTCCTTTTGAATTCTCCTATCCACTATCCCTTAACCCCGTGACGTTTCACTCAGAGGTCAAGGAATAGGAGATAGGGTTAGAATTTAGGAGCTGATTTTTGGACTACTCGACTGCAACCTCTGAACTGTTTCTTCATTTACAAACGGAGCCTCGCTTACAATCAGCTGTAAAATATTGGTTTTAAATTCAGGCTTTTGTAGCACACAGCTCCCCACTCATGGTAGCAGTGGTGTAAGAAGTACTGGTGTAAAAAGTAGAAATACTACAGGGTAAAAATACTGTGTTACAAGTAAAAGTACAAAAGCATTGGTATCAAAATATACTTAAAGTACCAAAAGTAAAAGTACTCCTTATGCATAATTGCCATTTTCAGAATATATATATATATATTTATTGAGTTACTGGGTTACTATAATGATTATGTATGTGTTTTATCACAGTTACTAAATGTAGAGCTAATTTGCATAACTTGATGTCCTGCTGCTGGATATCTTATCCTATAAATAACTGTCAAAGTGTATTTAATAATTGATTTATGTTTTGAATGATCTTCTAATCTATATCTAACTAGTAACTAAAAGCTGTGAAACTAATGCAGTGGATTAAAAAGTACAATTCTGTCTTCTAAAATGTAGTGCAGTAGACGTATAAAGCAGCATAAACTGAGACGTATTGGCATCAACCACTATTTACTACTTACTGTGCGTAATGTCCCATTTTAGAATCACATATATTGAATTACCGGATTATTTAATCTTGTATAAATTAATGTGTTTGTTACATCCCTAATAAAGTGTAAGGGAAATGGAGACAGTAACTACGGTGGCCCTGAAGTGCAAGACACCACAGCATTTCACAAAACACAACAGCATTTCAGAAACACCACAGCATTTCACAAAACACCACAGCATTTCACAAAACACAACAGCATTTCAGAAACACCACAGCATTTCACAAAACACAACAGCATTTCAGAAAACACAACAGCATTTCACAAAACGCCGCAGCATTTCACAAAACGCCACAGCATTTCAGAAAACACTACAGCATTTCAGAAAACACCATAACATTTCACATTGGACGGAAAGGGTATTCCTTAGGCAGAACACTTCTTGTTTGTGATTGGACAGAGCCAGCCATAGAAGCACTGCTGTGATTGGTTGTTTTTGCTGCCAGTCAAGAAATTACGCTTCGTGATTGGCCCAACACATCAGCCGTTAGCTGTTAGCACACACTCAGAGCTCACAGCTCCTCATATCTGTTCAGAAACTGGACAAAAGTTCAACATGTAAAAAACACAGACTGTCTATGTCATGGCGAATACAGTCGCTGCTTTATTTGTGTCTGTATGACGTTGTTGTGAGTGTGGACGGAGCAGCTACAGGTTAGTTTAGCCTGATCGATCCGATTCCGATAGGATTTACATGGAGATACGGCCCGCCCCCTCTCCAGCGTCTTGTTTGAATGACAGGAGTAAACACAGAATTAATGCTTTATTAATTCATGGTTTTTAAGGGGCTTATCTCCATGTAAATACTATGGTAGACCACCCAATATTCGCATCGCTCTAATCGCTCGAGTTTCACCGCGGCTGTCAGCTGTGTTTGCTCCTGTCATTCAAACAAGAGGCGCTGAGAGGGGGCGGGGCGTATCTCCATGTAAATTCTATGGGAGATACCAACTACAACAAAATGAACATATTTGACCGTGATTGAATTGTAATACACGTTTCAAAGTGATGCCGAAGTAACTACATACTGATAACGGTTAGTAAACACCATAAATTAACGCTTTGACAAGTCTGCAGATAAGACAGCAGGCGAAAAGCTTTTAAAATGCGTCTTTTCTGAATGGAATCGGATCCATCAGGCTATACTAACCTGTAGCTGCTCCGTCCACACTCACAACAACGTCATACATACATAAATAAAGCAGCGACTGTATTCGCCATGACACAGGCAGTCTGTGGTTTGTACATGTTTAACTTTTGTCCAGTTTCTGAACAGATATGAGGAGCTGTGAGCTCTGAGTGTGTGCTAACGGCTGATGTGTTGGGACCATGTTGACTTGGGACATATTTCGCTGTCGGGTGTTGACCAATCACGAAGCGTCATTTCTTGACTGGCAGCAAAAACAACCAATCACAGCAGTGCTTCTCTGGCTGGCTCTGTCCAATCACAAACAAGAAGTGTTCTCCCTAAAGGAATAACCTTTCCGTCAAATGTGAAATGCTGTGGTGTTTTCTGAAATGCTGTTGTGTTTTGTGAAATGCTGTGGTGTTTTCTGAAATGCTGTTGTGTTTTCTGAAATGCTGTGGTGTTTTCTGAAATGCTGTGGTGTTTTCTGAAATGCTGTGGTGTTTTCTGAAATGCTGTGGCGTTTTGTGAAATGCTGTTGTGTTTTGTGAAATGCTGTAGTGTTTTGTGAAATACTGTAGTGTTTTGTGAAATGCTGTAGTGTTTTGTGAAATGCTGTGGTGTTTTCTGAAATGCTGTAGTGTCTTGCACTTCAGGGCCACCGTAAGTAACACACAACAACCAATAACAGTCAGGATGAAAGAGAACACAAGTTTATTTATTTACATCAAAGAAAATGCCAACAAATGTTCGTTAAGTGAGGAGACAAAGAAGATTATGCCAATTTAAATAAATGAATATAACAAAACTCAAACAAAAAGCCCTCACTATCTGTTCTAGCAAGGAAACAAAACAATTACAGGGTGCAACAATCTA